ATGAACTGGAATGGGCCGTTTGCTTGAACATGGGCCTGTTGACAGTGTAGGAATGACGCTCTGCGTTCACCTGTGAGTTGAAACTAAAAGACAAGCGACTATTGAAGCAAGGTGGGGGAGGGCCGAGAATTGGGGGGTCGAAAACAGGAGGGATAAAAGTAAAGCTGGAACGGGACGATAAGGGTGAAAAAGCGCAAGAAGGGGAATAAGAAGATGGGAAGGCTTGAGCAGTAGCATCCGAACCCCTATCCACCCTGCTCGATGCAGCAGATAGTGCACTGTTGATTATCCTCTGCAGTGGCCAGAGCATCAGGAAATTGTTTGAGGAAAACTTCCTAGTATTGCGTAGGCAGGATACTGTCAAGTTGCCCAAACCTAGACCGGAGAATGATTTTGGTTCTCAAGCAAAGCCTTTGGTTCAAAAATCTAACCGCAAGGCAGCGGGTTTGGCGTAGGGCTACAAGGAGTCCGTTTCAAGGAATAAGGTGCCACCCTCATTCTAACCCTCAACCTGGAGGATCAGGAGGCTGAGTTTGTCTGGCCTCTAACCATTGGCCAATCTGGTATGAGTGGCTCTGAAGGTGCAAAAGCACCATCCAGCATAGCTCATTGAATCTGAAGCATGTAAACCATCATTCACGGTAAGGTTCAGTCTAAATGTGATAAGGGTACCACACTGTCAAAAAAATACAGTTTTGCCAATAAACAAATACTGTGTTCTCATATAAGGAGTTAGGTTGGCTGCCACAGAATAGGCTACGGCTAAAGACTACGCATTACCATTCGAAACACCATACCAAGTAGGAAACAGAAAATACTAAGAAAAATAAATATCAGAGGACACAAAAACTATTCCAAAACATACACCAGATCATAGCAGGATCGCAGCATTCATGCAAGATCAAGTGAGTGGTGCTGAGGATACTTCGAATGATAGGATTATGACAAGCAAAAACGGTACATAATATGGGTTGCATAATAAAACAACCCAAATCATAATGGTTTGTTAGGTACTTTACATCAAAACCCTACGGTAGAACAATCGAAGAGGCAAGCAAGCGACCGTAACTATAGTATGAGTCCGGTTGAGGGATCTGAGGGCTTCTTTTCCGGTGTAAGTAGGTCGTAGTGGACAGAGGGGGTTAAAAAGCAAAAGAGGTACTTCGTAGGCGGCTGCACAGTTACCTAGTAAGCGTCGGAGCTAGATGGACGGGGTGCTTGTGTCACATCTTTTGGCTAGCTGGACGGTATTGTCACAACTGCTGACGTAGAACTAAACGTGAGGCGACTACATATATGGCGTGGAATCACACGATAAGTGGCTACTCCAACAACACCGAAGACGAAATGAGAAGGAAAAGAGGTAATGACGATCAGAATATATGCCATACTGGATGACAAATTAATTGTTGACTTGCTACAGCGACTGACGCACCAAAAAGGGAGTAGGGTGCTGACCGGACACCATAAAGTTGATTTGATTAGCAGCAAAACTTTCTCTCCTTTCAGGCGTCTCGAAAATGGAGCGCCGTTCCAACTCTCGTCATTTTGCTCCAAACACCAGCGGTTTCAAAAGTACACCTTGACGACACACTATCCCACTTGCATTACGTGATGTAAACCATGTCACCAAGACCAAATTATGGGCTCACCATCCCATTACTTACCGTTATATTCAGGTACGCAGCTTGATGCGTGGCTCAAAACCCGAATTTACCCCTTTCCTCATGTTATTCTTTGACCCTGGTATCATAATCCTCACTCCGGTCATCCGAGGGAACTTTTCAAGCAAGCGCTATTTTGCATGTCAGAAATGATTGCGCATTGTACTGGGACTCATGACAATAGATCAGTTATGCACACAATGGTGAACTACGCGTGCCCATCCTGTGTACCTTTTAAGTCCCTTAAATTACCAGAAGGTCACTATTCCATTGTTTTATTCCATAAGTGCCGAGCCCACGCCGTTCCCAAGACAAAACTCTAAACTGTGTAAAAGGTGCACAGTTCAAGTTTGAATGACTGCCAGTAATTCTTAGGATATGATGATTGATGGGACTGTGCTGTTCATACGCATTATTACACTCAGCATGTCAGGTTGTCAACCTCGGTTCCTTTGTGACAAGCGCTGAAGGACAACCTCGCTGCATGGAACAGTAAATGCTGCCGAGTGGTGTACGGTGATTTATGGCACGGCTGCTAACCAAATCCCACACGTTTGCCTAACTAATGCAAAGATAGATATACCGATGGAATTCCATGACTGGCGTAATTTTCTCAGGTTCCAAAATCAAATTTGTCTAACACGAACTGGCTATATCCATTACAACTTAATGCCACATTCAGCAGCCTCGCATAATGAGACCAGGTTCTTGAAGACTTTTAAGATGTAGCGAAGCTGCAGCTGAAAAACCCGGCAGCCGTACAGAAGTGGAACGCTGTTCCAAACTACCCGGAGGAGGGCAGAGCATCTATTCGATAATACTGCAAATGAATGGATGGACATACTAAGAAGTGGCTTCTTCAGAGCTTTGTTTTGGGCTTTCTTAGTATAATAATTAGTAAGCGCAGTAGAAACCAGATCGACCTATTTACGCTACTTGATGTTCTCCTCTTTCTTTAGGATCAATGTCCTCGTTACTGTGTCCTTTCGTTATGCTAAAAGTCTGTAACGTAGGGCGTTGATTTGATTGTCAATGGGCAACTAATATAGACGGCTTACCTAGAAATTTAACAGGGGTCTCTGAATAGTTTACATTCCCACTTTTAGAAGTACAACCTGTAAAGCTCAACTTCTGAGGCGAAATGCGCATTTCATCCACGGATTTCCTGCTGATTTCATGAGCAATTAAGTTGATACTCACAAAGGCAAAGAATATAAAACAAATAGACCCGTATGCGATTTAGTGTGCATTAGGCATCTACGAAAGAAACAACAGCTGATCTATGTTAATGATCCTTTCTCGTAGGATACTATCTCGCGCCGTTAACCTCAAACGAATACGATTAGTATAAGTACTTCGGAATGATGTTAACTAGACTTCATAAGCAGACTCTATTCATGTGCCAAACACAAATCCTTCTGTTGGCTGCCTAGACTTTCTTCAATGTCAGATCAATCGATAAATAAGGCCGACGGTATCCGCTCCAGAGTTGTGAGCCAGACATAGTACAAGCAAATACAGGACACGTGCGTACACGGAATGACTGTACGTGGCCTGTATCGCAGAGCGCTAAGCATTAGTTCTAATGTAAATGATTAGGTATATGAGCTATCGCAAGCGGATGGCATCGTCGAGTGGTTCGGAGCCGATACACACACAATTAACACATTCTTCACTTAATATAAAAGCTGTGGAAGCATACGCATCAGTTGCACAAGGATTAACGGCTGGACTGCCGTCCATTCCAACGTGGGGTCGCACATTGAATTCAGCTATCTCACAATGACTGCCTGTCCCGACAACAATTAATATTGCCCTGGGATCAATGCGCGGGGTCAGCGTTCGCATGGAACTTGCGTAGGTCAGAAAATTAACCTTTATAAAAGCGAGGGAGAGGGTCTTCGGGTCACTGAAGTGACAAGGACTAACCAATGCCTTTCGACTTGGCCAGTGGCACCGGTACAGCGAGAGTGCCAGGCCACTCAAATCAGCTGAAGTTTATAATTGGCCGTTAATCAGTGTGGCCTACTAGAAGCATGTCGGAGTGATGACAGCTAACCAAAAATATCTTTTTCAATTCGTAGATTATACCCATGGAAATACAAGAACACAACGTTGCGAAGAGTACTCTTTTCGATAAATCTCCTCGGGCATTTACAATTATAAAATGGAAAAGCATTAAGCAAACGGCTGATGAAGCCAAAGTGATGGGAATAGTGGAATCACGACAAACGGAAACTCGAACGTATTGATCAATAAAATCCATTAACAACACATGTGACAAAGCACGTGTTAGTTGATCGGTGGGATGCCAAGTGCATCATCCGACCACTGTAGGCGCCTGGAGTGGTAAAAATTAGCGAGCCAACTAGGGCCAGGGTAGAAGAAGCCCTTGCAGCAAGGCCTTCTGCTTACATAATTCCGGTTGCAATATTCTAATCGCCATCGCTTCGGCCGTCCGTAAGATTTGCTTTCTAAGCCCTTTAGTATACCGTGGTTTTACTACATAAAGTACTTGGAAGGCATCAGCGCTCCTAATTCGGTGTCCGCTTTCCACCAGATGTTCCAGGATGGAACTGTTGGGGCGCCTGACGATGCCTTTCCGCAAAGCCGCTGGGCAATGCTCCGCAATGCGTTTAGACAGACGCCTGGTTGTGTGTCCCACGTACCTCGCACCGCAGGCGCACGTTTCATTGTTGTCCTTAAGTAGAGCAACGAATAAGTTAAGGATCATCGATTTTTTCGGCTCAAATAGACTCGGTGCCAAAATCCATAAAGCCATGACTTTACAGTTAGTTCCAAACGATACTGACGGGTGACACAGTTTACGCTACCAACGCTCATGAGAGCTATAAATTTACATGGTTTATATACCGACAATTTCACGGAAAATTGCTATTGTGTCAGCAAACTGGGGTGTGTTGCCTTAGTCAACAGTGGAAACTTCCGACGAGGAGCTCCTTGTGGATACCCGGCAACATAAGTACTCCTGTCTACTTATGCGCAACACTACGTGATATTACCATAAAAATACCAAGAAGTTAATGGTGCAAATCGGAACTTGTTAGATACAGGAGCTAGTTAGAGTGAGGATCATTCTTGGAGTAAGGACCGTACTTCGAAACCTGTAATCACCGTTTGCCAGTCATATAAAATAGTTGCTCCAATACTTTTGGCAGCATAACTAACAGAAACGATACAATTCCATGCAATAAATGATTTTCGAGTTAACCTTTATTAACATTTAACACTAACATTTATTAATATTCGTATCTGCTGGCATGGTACTGCAAACAGCCAACTTGGCACCCAGCCCGTATCGAGTGGCTTTGCAAACTCATTCGTAATCCTTTTGAAAAAATCGCAACTCTGCTATCAAATCGCAACATTTACGAGAAATGTAAGATTGACTTCGTTGCTACTGTGGAATATGGCAGAACTGGTTAGGAGTTCAGGTAAATTTAATCATAGCTGGTGCACACAATGGAAACTTCTGTTAAGTGAGCACCCGTTTCTCTAGATTAAGTATATTGGTAACGTCTGATAGCAATGGGTTTATTTCCCTTCTAACCTTTTGCAGAGTGAATTAATCCAGTTAGTTTCAAACTCATCCAAATACGTTGCGCGACTTTATCATGCTATTAATGAATGTGAGGTTACATCAATATCAAATTTGAAAGTTTTTTATAAGAAAAATGTTTGAAGGCTGGAACCACGGTTACATTGATTCCGTGTCCGTGGGTGCTCCAAATGTACTCATCCATGAATAAGGCGCTGGTTGATTTAAGGCACCTTCCACATCGATCCGCTCTTCATAGTTTGGCGGCCACTGAGATGTTTGACCAGCGGCTATGCTTAACCAGTGTGACAGCTGGGTCATTGCTCCATCAGAAAATAGCCCACCGAACTTGATGAAGCTGACACCGAAGCCAATGGCCTATAGAAAAAGAAACAAGTGACCATCAGCTTCAACCATAACATCTAGGTATTCTACTGAAGGTAATAAAACACTGATGATTGTATACTTTAATGCTAACAATGACAAAGCTTCTTCTAGAGGATCTCATGTAGCATCATATATTTCTTGCAAATTATAAACCACTTTTCTATTGTTACATGCTTTTGACGGTGATATCGTGGGGGCACTTAGTCTGAGCATTCAAGCAATAGTTGGTTCTCATCTTATAATGAAGCTTCTGTGATACGAAACGATGTAGCAGCGGGGTGGAATAAGGATTAATGTTCTTGAGTCCCTCGAGGTTCTCATCGAATAAAGACAGAGTAATGGGTTTCAGCACATGTGATGCAGAGCTACTAGTCTGATTACCAAAACAACAAAACAATAAGATAGACCCGGGAAATTGCGAATGCTGTTCTTGTCCCGTTTTTGTCCAGGTTGGTTTGCATTAATGAAGCGATAACCGGCGAGTAAGTCACCGGAATAACCTGGCAGCTGCACGTCATGAAGTGGAGTGAAAATCAGGTTGCCTTTGAGATTGTCTATCAGGTGAACAAAATGTCGGACTGATTCTGGAAATCTAAGGCAAAGGACTTTTAACAGGATTCAAAGTTTAAGCATTTCCTAAGGTAGCCTAGCTGGTTATTACCTTTTCAGGCCAAGCAGATTGGATTAACTTTCAAGGTTTATAGAAATTTGCCTTGGACGGTGGAGCCCTTTTGTGGAAAAGGTGTCGGGTAATATGCAGTATCATTGTTTGTCTACTAGTGTAAAGACTAAGTACATTAGAAAAGTGGAAAATGCATGACCCTAATTATAAGGCCGTTAACTAAGACGACAGTGCGATCGCACGGTGCCTACGGACGTGCAGTTCGTTGGTTAGTATGAGATAACTTGGTTTACGCGGTGCTGGTAGGCAACGCATGGCAGCTACTTGCATAACCAGACTTCATCATCAGTATACATTAGCTAAAGGTGAGAGACACGCTTCAACTATTGTGTCGCAATAGATAAATATATACGAAAAAGCAAGATACTAAATATTAAGGAATGCAAAAATTCAGATACCACCACTTAGTAACATATTAACATTCAAGTGAAAGGTCGTGGTTGGTATGGGGACGATAGGCGGGATGAGGAGGGACGAAGAAACTCAAAACACGCACACCACTAATCTCGGTCTCTTGCTATGTCAACAAGTGTATCCGACTACACGTGTCCATCGTCCATCGGACCCCAACCCGACAGCCGGGAAACACCAACTAACCTCAAGTTCGAAGTGAGGGACTTGGTTCATTTTGACCAATTCGTCGCCTCCCCTCATCTTCTTCCATCCACAGCCCCGGTGTACAAACAACGCACGTCGCGGAAGTCGGTGGACTGGGATTCACAACACGTCTCCCAGCCATCGGTGGCTGGTGCGTGAGATAATGGTGCTGAGCAGTTCAGTCGCCCTTTCTGCACCAAATATACGACGCCGAACATATTCATCAATCGCGCGGTGCTCCCACCAGATGTCATCTAAGTTGCGAAGGCAGCCATGCTTGTATGTAACCAGCTTCTTTATGTACTTAAATTGGATGAGACAGGTTTCGCAGCCGTACAGGAGGGTTGAACGAACAACTGCATGGTAAACTCTGCTTTCCAGGGTGAGTGTGATGTCGCGCCGGTGCAACAGGTGGCGAAGATTGCCAAAATTGGCTCAAGCTTCTGCTATGCTGTTGGTGAGCTCTTCTTCCACTCCACTGTCGTTGTCGCTGATATAGCTGTCAGCTGATCAGCACCAAGGGTCAGCGGCAGCTCCCTGTAAATCTTGGAGAAAGACTGCACCTCGAGAGTGCAAAGCCTAGCCGAAGCGAGTGACAGCCAATATTAATTTGTTGAGTGCTATTTATCACGTTTGGCTGCTGTCACAAATGAGGGCAATGTCCTCAGCTTACTCCAGGTCAAGAAGTCGATCACTTGGGAGCAGAGTTCTGCTTTGCAGGTCGTGTCCAGTGAACGAAGTCTTCATGACTTCGCCAATGGAGAAGTTAAAAAGAAAAGAAGACAACGGGCGTCCTTGCCTGACACCACTGATATTGAAGGGAGGTGACAATTTGCCGTAAGCCGTTACTCTGCCCGAACTATACGAATAAAGCGCTCTGAGAATGTTTACATAGTTTTCGGGCACATCTTTCCTAAATAGACAGTCGCAAACGGCACGTTAATCAACCGAATGGAAGGCACCTTTGATGTTGAGCAACACGACTACGGTGGCTCACCGATAAATATGGCGGTGCTCCAACTAATTAGGTAATTTGAAGGCCCGATCAGTACAGCCACGACATCGAAGAAACCCGGCCTGCTCCTCGCGAATCTGGCTTCCACGGGTGCCAACGTGTTTATGAAGCTTGACAGAGACGTATATCTTAGAGGCAATTGTGATCAGACTGATCCTTCATGATTGCTGCACCCAGAACGTGAATCTCCCTTGAAACTTGAGACAATTACGGAACGGTTAAACTTTGCTGTTCCAGTTTCCTGGTTCCACAGATTCATAAGTAAGTTGTATAGCTCGTTCACGGAATCAGGTCCCCAAATTGCAGGGAAGTGCAGGGATTCTATCGGTTCGAATATTGCGCGTGAGGGCGGGTTCATGGGAACGGCCCACGGAGAAAGACGAGCAGTGGCCGAAGGAGAAGCTGGTGACTATAGTCGATTAGGCTGCTTTTCAGTGTTCGGCCCAACGCTCCAAACGTTTTGACAAACTGTGGATTGACCGTTCACAGTTGTCATGTATGGTCTCGCTAATACCACATCTCCTTGTGCCCGTTTCCTGTATCAGACGGAATAACTTCCGATGGTTACCAACAGCAACGGTCATTACTACCTTGAATGCACGATCAGGCCACCACGCTTCGCGGTCTCACTTCAGGCTAGCACGCAGCTTCGCTCCGAGGTCTCTACGAGTTTCCATCTGTTCGCTCCCATCCGAAATGCGTTGGCGAGCATCCAAAAGTTATAGAGACTGTATAGAGACCCAATGTTCAGGTTAGTAATTTGATTTACCATATAAAGAGACGCCTGCTGCTAATAACATCTAGTGTATATGCGACCAGGGGCTCTCTACTGCGTTCAGAAAGCGACTACTAAACCCGGATGCCAGATTTATTTGACACGCTGGCTTCCTCGGCTGGTAGGCATCCATGAACTCACAGCATCGTCATATGTGCTCACTAAAGCGAAGTGTAAGATCTGCACAAACGAGTGCGTGGTCAAAGGCTTTGATCTTGTTCCAAATTGAGCGATAGTTATGAACACATTCCTCCGAACGGTAACTAATATCGACGTGGTCGATTCGCAACCATGGGTAGTTTGTTGCGGGTTGGCGCCATGTCATCCTTCTACGATTGCCGTGTCGGAGATTAGTGCTAGCGAGAAACAGCTCAGTGTAAGAACCGCTCACCTTCAGCGTTACAGGAACTTACACCGTTTTGGCCACCCAGATGCAAATCAACAGTGCACAGTTTTCCAACTTGGGGGTTCAGATCACGAGCCAGCACCGCATTATACGTACGTTTCTCGTAAAGTTGGATCATCTTCAGTTGGTTACAGAATTCCTCATCCACTGAATCAACGTTACACTTAGTTGGAGTGTAGGTCGCAATGTCATACAGGTACCGTTTGTCTGCGCGCGACTTCGAAGCTCTGAAGGAGCCAGTCAATCTGACGGCACACATCCGGCTGTCGAATGGGATCTAATCAATCAGGACAGCTTCTGCCCGGGATCTCAGAGCAATGCCATAAGCCGCTTCACCAGTATGTAAGGCTGTTTTATCTCCAGATAAACGTAGCGAGAACCTGCCTCCAGTGTCGCTTGTGGAGAGAAGAAAAGCGGGCACAGAGCTCGAGTCTTGCAGGCGGGTTTCTGATAATCAGCAGATGTCGACCTATAGAGTCTCTTGGGTTCGGGCAAGTGCTGCCTGTTGGCCATTCTGCGGAAAAATGCGCACGTCGCGGCGTACCAATCTGGGCGCGGATTGAGGAGTTCAAAAAGAAACGGATGTACTGAGATTGTCCATTTGGTTTAACATGGACTTATCAACTGTACTGGAGCGACGCTCTGCGATTGCATGTGAGTCGAAACTAGAATACAGGCGACCATTAAAGCAAAATGGGGACCAAGAATTGGTGGGTTGAAAACAGGTGGGATAAAGCTGATGTTCGATACAGAGTATAGAGCGTAAGAAGGGGAGTAAGAAGACGTGAAGGCTTCATCAGTAGCATCGTTACCCTATCCACCCTGCTCGATGAGGCAGATAGATCGTCGTTTATTATCCTCTGCGGGGGATAGATAATAAACAAATCCTGTGTAGAATAGCTCATATAATTGTATGGTGTGAGCAGAAGACTGTCAGTTTGCCCAGGCCTAGACAGGAAGACGACTAGTGTTCCCAGCCAAAGTCTTTGGTTTAAAAACCAGACCGCAAGGGAGCGAGGTTTCGGTGCTAGGCTAAAGAGAGTCCGTTTTATAGAGTGAGGAGCCACCCTCACTCTAAGCTCTAAAGTAGTGAGGCAGGAGACTGAGTTTGCCAGGCCTCAAACCACTGGCCAAGCTAGTATGAATGGCTCTGGTGCAAGAAGCACCACCCAGCATATCTCAGTGGATCGCTGAGGTACGCAAAACATTGCACTACGTTAATGTCCAGTCTCGCCGCAATGGGCAACCGGACTTCACTCACCTGGCATGTTTACAGTTTTCTAGCTGGCCAAACCACATAAATAAGGTTTAAAGCTAATTCATTACTCCCTCTAAGCCACCGAAGATAATTCCGTGAGCGAACTGATCGCAAACGTAGACGCGACGAGGCACTCACCTAGTAAGTTATTGCGTCCGCCTCTGAAATGAGCAGAGTAAAGCTAAGCCCTCCATTTAGTCGTGAAGGCTAGCTAGATTTCGTTTAAACGGTGGGACCGTGGTATACGCAGACGTTGGA